GGCCATCCTTGAGCAATTGGGAACCTTAATAACCATGTCTTGAGTAAAAATGGGAGGGAAAATTTTGGGGTACAACAGGGAGCATGCAAAATATCGAAGTAGTTATCTCAATTATAATTGAGTGATATCATCAATCGTCAACCCATGAAAATAAGCATAAACACAATTAACAAACAATTGTGGAATGCCTGCTACAGGTCTTTAAACAACGACTTCGAGCGCACGCTCTTTATATCCTACTTATCATGATATCTAGAAAGCAATAAAATGCAGGAAGATAAATTGGAAGCATTATAATACCAAACGAACAATAATGTCCTCAAAAAGCACAACCGAAGCAAATAAACCCATAATATTTCGCGCGAGTTGGCATGAATAAACAAACAGTCAGAGATTGAATGTTCAGAATAAGTGACAAGGCATCATCAATGTGAAAATAAATCACAATCGGAAACTCAAGCATATCCATATATCACACAATAAACATGCATACGACTCAAATCTCGATAAGCAAAAGTGAATCACGAAGTCAATCATCCCTCGGCGAAGTCAATCTACCTCACATTTCTCAAAACTGAAACAGAAAATACGATGTGGCTACCAGAACGATCTACTCAACCTCTTCGATCAACACTCCATTGTACATCCTCCGTTCACAACTTCACCATTCACTATCTTTAACACAGAACCTTCAACGAACAATGCTTTCCTCGATTAAGCATTGCTTCATACTTCCGTCTTAGTTCGATTTTCAATCTAAACAAATCAGAAATTGTGAGTGGAACGATTGAGGAAGACTTACCAATCAAAAAGATGTTCGATGCCTCTTCAAATTTGATGAAGATGGATAGAAGACCATAAGTTTTAATCTCTAGGTACAATGTATATTTTTTATTACTCCATGTTTCTTCTTCTTCGTATCACTTCTGTGTACACACTTTTGTCTGTTGTCTGATGAAGGAGATGTATGTGCGATGAAAAAATGATACGTTCTTGTTATTGTAGTGAAGATTTTGATGTTGCAACGATGATGAAGATGATGTTGCATAATTGATTTTGTTGATTCAATATGGAATCGATGTCATTGATTGATGCAGGATCAATGTCATTGATTAAAGAAAGGAGTTGTTGTAGTCTGTTGAAGGTTGAAGTGCAACGAGAAGATGATGAATCGATGCGTTCTTGATGTTGCAGTGAGGAAGATAATTATGGAGGCGAGAGAGTAATGAAGATGTGAAGAGGTTTTTTTATAATTTTCTTGGCGATTCTTCTCAAGAGTCAAGAATGATGAAGGTGGAGATGAAAGGAGAAGAGAGAGTTTGATGGTGATTCTTAAGAGAATGAAGAATAAGGGTGAAGGTGAGGTTTTTTTCATTTTTTTCTTATTTTTCCCCTCTGAGTTTTTTTGTTATAGTGTATTATGGATCGTTAAATCCTCATTCTCCTTCTATTATGATTTCTATTATGGATTTTTCAGTTAGCTGGCAATTCTGTTTTGATAGTTATGAATTCTGTTGGAAAATCAGTTAAACCTGTTATAGTTGTTTATGATTTTTTTGTTTCACTCCCCCCCTGATTTCTATTAGAACTCTGTTATATACCTCTCCAAAATCTATTAGATATTAGCACACCTGAGCCGTCAGATTGAAACTCGATTAGGGAAATCAATGGTCAGCCTTGAGCCTAATTCTGTTTTGAAAAGAAAAAAATCATCTGAAGTTTCCATCTCCTTTGCAGGTAGCTGAAGCTTAACGAAGTTTGTTACAGGTTGAATGCCTCGGAGCCTTTGGATCGAAATTTGATTACAATGAATGGAGGGCGAAGATTGACTCGGAATTGACAAGTAAAATTTGATTTTCCTCAGAGTTTTTTCCTGACTTTTTCTGATTATCCATCATTTTTTCAATTTTGTCAACTTATTCTCATATCAGTCAATATTACTCTGCAGATATACTATGCAACGTCTTCTCTAATATTCCTTTCCATTCTTCCTTTTTACATGACATGTTTCTTCAAATAAGCAACCACTGTCACAAGCAGCTTTAGAGCCTAGTCCCTTGGATGTCACGTTTTGGGCTTAAAGATAAGGCATGGCAGGCGGGACATAACTTTGCAGTTAAGCATTTTGAAAATAAGATTTGGAATTTAAACTTAATGGATGGACAATCATATTTGTATTGGTGAACATATAAAATAAAATTGAATGATGACAAATGATATTTGAATGGAACACGAAATATAGTGATGTAAGCCTTATATTTTGCAACTTGTTTTCAAAGTAATCCAAATAAATCTCCCAACTTGAATTAATCCTTTTATCAAATCAAATGCTTAAAGACTTTGATTCACTTTGTTTGTCTTTGAACCCTAACACATTTCAATCGCACTCAACTTTTTTCTTTAATGAACCTATTACCCAACTTTCAAAATCCAAGCTAACTTGTAATTGGAGTAACAAGTAATAGTGATGACTCGATCACAACATGCGCCCATAACATCATCTCTTGTGACACGATTCATGTTTTAAAATTCAATCCACAAAGACACCTTAACTTGATAATTAAATATTTTAAATAAAATGCCTTGGGGAAAGCCTTTAAGATGATAAAACTTAAAGCATATAAGAACACCTCAACAAGCTCGGGCACCATAAATGAGAAGCTCCAATACTCTTACTTTAAAGTCACAATAATGAAGATATGATTTGGGATCTTGAAGAAACCTAAAACTCAAAACATTCCCAACCGAATCTTGAAAGCCCCCTGGATTTCTGCTTTACTACTACTTGACGGAACCCTTGAGCTTGAGATGGTGAAATTTTGATTCGTACTTAACCGCGTGGAGCGAATCTAGAAGACAACGTGATCTCAACGCCATTATGCTATATGATGACAGAAAAAATCTTTGGGGCGAAAAATTGGGGTATAACAAAGGTGAAGAGCAATTGCAGGAAAATTTGATGGTATCATCAAGTTAGAATGATGCATGAATGATATATTTATAGTTGGGAACTATTTAGGCTAAAGAGGGATGTTTTGGAATGAAACAAATATGAAAAAATGACCCACAAAACCGTATGAGTTGGCTGAAAAAGTTATGAGCCGACACTTACAAAGCAGTAGCCACAAAATTTAATAATGCAGTACATGTGCTGGCTCATAGAATTTTTAGGCCGACGCATAGGATTTTTAGGTCGACACATAGGCTTTTCAGTTCGGCTAATGTACTGCAGTTTTAAAGCAAAAATGTTGTTTTTTTATGCAGAAACTGATTTTTCATGATTGAGATCAATTTTAAACTTGTTTTGAATGCTTCCTAAGACATCTAATGCAAGGGTGCACCACATAACACATAGATATTGTCTTATTTATATATATATATATATATATATATATATATATATATATATATATATATATATATATATATATATATATATATATATATATATATATATATATATATATATATATATATATATATATATATATATATATATATATATATATATATATATATATATATATATATATATATATATATATATATATATATATATATATATATATATATATATATATATATATATATTGGCTCATTAATAAAATTGAAGTTGAGAACTAAGTTGTGTTGATTTGGTTCATCTATGATGGTATTATGTATTGTTTATGTATTATGGGCAGTCATGTATGTTTTGTAAGATGTGACATCCTAATTGTGTTTGGATGTTTAAATATTACTCTGATTTAATTATAATTACGTGGGGTTAAGTTAGGGTGTCACATTTACAATGATGTTCGATATACGAGCATTTCCCCTATATCTATGACAGAAGATTGGTACGCGTTCCATTAGATACTCCACGGGCAAGGAGATGGAAGAGAGAGCAATCGGTTCGTGGTGTAGTTGTAGAGTACAAGAGGATACTTGACGTTATGAAAGTTGATGATGTCGACTAGACACCATATACAACTCATCAGACATATCGTCCATTTGGCAATGCTTCTTTATAATCAAGTCATATGAAGTGGGAGAACCATATGGCTGGACACTTTTCTAACAGGTGTCTACGACTTTATGGTAATATTCAGGGTATCCCCCATACAGATCCAGAGACTCAACTTAGTGGCATCGACAAATGGTTTCAGAGTCACATCATCATCCTTACCTGTAACATCAGGGATAACGCAATTACAGTTTAATATGCTTCATAGTGCAAGGATGGTTACTTGGAGTGGTATCATAGTATATCACACCCTCACCCATACCACTGACTGTAGGGTCTTCTAATTTTTTGGGGCCATCTGGTACTAGGGGTTATGATGCTTATTACCTATCGCCACCACCAACTCCATTTATCGTTACTGACCAGGAAAACTGCCTCCAGTTGATTGCAGTTATTATGGATAACCTCACGGGTTTGGTAAACCCGGATGGTGAGGTTTTTATAGATTTATATAGGATAGTTGACATAGCACGCGGGGGCTATATATAGTATGAGTGCAACTTCACTATTAAATGTCTTGCATGATGTCAAAACTAGAAAAACTAGGAAAATTATGTGGGTCCCATTTAAAGAACCCAAATGAATATGATGGATGTGGATGCTCTAACGATTCATTAAAAACATATTTTAATACAACTACTTTGCCGATTTGTTAGATAGCCGACACTTCCCCACCACCCATGCTTCAAAGCTACACCGCCTCACCACACCACACCACAACGCAACCATCCTCCCTTTTCCCTTTCTCTCCATTCACCGTCTCTCTGCTCTACAACACCTTGATTACTCTTTCTTTCTCTTTCAAATCTCTCCTTCCACATGATTTCATTTCCCATCTCACCATAACCTCTTGAATCCGCTATTCTTCATTCTCACACACGCACAAAATATACATCATGTAAGTTTTTTGAATCCACGTCTCTGTTTTATTTATCGTAAATTTTCAATGTATGCTTATTTTTCTGCAGCTTTTGGATACTTTTCCAGCATCAAAATGAACATGTCAATGCGTTTGTTATCTTCTGAGTTCACATGTCCTACAAGTGTGAATTTTCTTTTCTCCAGACCCTCTGTAAGGGTTTCACCTTTCGTTAATAAACATGTCTGTAATCGTGGTGGAAGAACCGCGAGGTTGTCTTGTCAATTGATGCATGGCCATTTAGAGGAATCATATAGAAGAAAGAAAAGGTTGCAAGTGTCGCTACAGAAGCCAGATTTTGTGAGGACTTTGTTGATTGATAACTATGATAGTTATACTTACAATATATACCAGGAGCTGTCTATTATTAATGGTGGTAAGTTCAGCTTACTATGTTTTTTTTTTCTTTCTTTTTCTGTCTCATGAATCATGAATGTGGATGTTGATGGTTTTGGTTTTCATTTTGCCAGTCCCTCCCGTGGTGATTCAAAATGATGATTGGACGTGGGAAGAACTTTGCCATTACCTGTACGAAGAAAATGCATTTGATAACATTGTAATATCACCTGGACCTGGTTCTCCGGCATGCCCAGAAGATATAGGTGAGAATCATGAAATCTCCTTCTGGTATGATAGTTTCATTAAATTTATATACTGCACATCAAGAATTTATTCAATTGTCTGCAAATGTTTGTTTGAGTGGATATAGTGTTCGTGTTTTAATCACATTCATTGTTAATATATGCTTGCGGCAATTGTGAATTATGATGTTTCATGTTCAAATTTGATCTTCAACACCATACTCAGTTATCCAGATATATGAAATTTTAGGGGAGTATATTTAGATTTCAAGAACTTAAGTTATTGAAATATTCAATCTTAAAACAACAACCAAGGTTTTGCACTAGATATGACTACTTTTACAAATCAATCAACACTTCAGGCCCTCCAAAACATTTTTTTTCAACACATTCATTTATTGTCAGATTGTTTTTAATGGTTTCTCATAAAATATATTTAATCTATTCCATTTTTATTTGACTATCTATATCCTAATTCACTTTTTTCACTAGAGCCTTGACTAGTCTTTTTCTAGCATGAACAAAACATCTTAGGCTAATTTTTGTCATTTTCTTATTTCAGAGTGCTACTCCACCTTTCCCCTAAATGCAGTTGTTCCTAATTTATACTACCTCGGGTTCTATTTATAAGAAAAAGTTAACTTTTTAGATACATTAAATAACTAATGTATCTGGACAATATATAGACTAAATATATTCTCTATTCAATGAATCTAGAAAGTAATCTTTTTCTTATAAATAAGACCAGAGGGAGTATTTTCTTATAAGTCAAGTGTCAACTCATATTCCTCAATATTCTCATCTCTATTACACTCAAAGGGGGTATAACCATGTATGTAAGGGAAACACACTCAAACCACATGAATTGCAAGTATAATTATCTCTAGGTGTGTTTTGAAAGGACACCTGATATTTATTTCGAAGAAATTCATATCTATGATTTATTTTAATGTTATCTTGATTGTTGTTTAATGAAATGCAGAAGATTATTTATTTTGACCTCTTTTTTCTTTAAATGATTTTATATGCTTCAGGCATTTGTCTTCAAATATTACATGAATGCAGGGATATTCCCGTTCTTGGTGTTTGCCTAGGACACCAGGTATTTCCCTCTTCTTTATTCAAAATTGTACTATTTTTTCCTAATCTAATTTAACCACTGGCTGAGTAAACCTTCTAGGTATCACACTTCTTACTTTTCTAGAAGATTATATAAACCTTTAAAATTTGCAACTTCACGAACAAGTTTCAATAGAGTGCACTATGTTTCTTGAATTTAGGTCATGTTAAATTAACAGGAACTTTATATGTCTAGTTTTTGTTTTACCTTCTATATTAGGGTTCTTTGGTAGAGCTTATTTGGTCTAATCTCTTGACATAAACTCTTACCGTTAGTTTTTTGATGTAGTTATAAGAATACGTTGTGTGACATATTCATAAGTTATTTTCACCTTTGGCCATACTCTCTCAAGAATAGCTTATGGAATAAGCGTTTGATTAAACTACTTACTTGAACAAACCCTAGACCAATATGTACTCATATTATGATAGGATCTAATTAGGGTATGTCGCAATATGTTCATCCTCTATCTTGTTTCTTCCGGGGAAGAAAGGTTGTTTATCTTTTAGCTACATTAGCTCAATTTTTTTTATGGGAACAACAGTTCATCGGAATTAAATAATTAATCACTAGTAGTGCAGTCAAAGTAATGGGGCGTTATATAGTTACAGTATAGCATCAATAGAAATATTTGGTCTACACACACACACACTCACTCACTCACTCACGCACAAACGTGCACGCACATGCCCACGCATGCACATACACGTGCGCGCACGCACCCACTGACACATGTACGTTCGCACACACATTATAGTTCATTTTTCTTTGGCTAGCAAATACTTTTGTTTGCCTTTTAATTACTGACATAATACTTTTGTTTTCTTCGGGGAAAATTGCTATGTCAAAATTTCATGAACAGTTTTGAACTCAAATTGTTTAAATTCCTATTTTCAAGACACAGTGCATTTAATTCTTCATTATCGAGAGCTCTCCCATTTTTGTGAACAATGTTTACTCTGATTGAAGCCCAATAAAAACATATTTGGAATGTTAAATCATAAAACTCATTTATGTAAAAACATATTTGGGGTTTCCATAATATTTGCTTAAAGTTATTTCTGAAGAGCAATATGGAATTGCTGTAAAATTTCCAAGAAAATGCCCTTGATAAGACAAGGAAGAAAATCTTGTCGCAAATACCTCATAGTGATTATGAACTTATTTACAACCCCCTTTTTGACAACACGGTTTTTCTGTTAATCATTATAATTTATATTCAACTAAATCCTGTTGTGATTCATTTAATTCATAACCTCAGAAGTCATACTTCTGTCTTTCGTAACTATTGCTTGCATTGTGTACGTTTTATTTTTTCCTTAGCTTAACCTCTTTCTGTGATTTGATAGGCATTGGGTTATGTGCATGGAGCTCAAGTTGTCCATGCACCTGAACCAGTTCATGGGCGTCTGAGGTATGCCTGAACATTTCAAAAAATATTATGTAATTGCCACATTCAGGAAAATTATATACCTAAAACATACGTCATTTAAAAGTTCTCTTATCTGTTTATCCCCTCTATTTTTAGTTTCAACTATTTCTTTGTTCTGTGCAGTGATGTTGAGCACAATGGATGCCAGCTTTTTCATGGCATACCTTCTGGTAGAAATTCTGGTTTCAAGGTGAGTTGCCAATATATATTTGAAAGAATTTGAATTTTATTCGGTCAAACATTTTTAGAGAGTTTGAGTTTGAATCTTACTATGGATTTCAATTTTTAGCTTATCATATTCATATTTGAGACATATAAGGCAATCAGATGCTAGAAATTCTATATTTTGATCTTACTTTTTCTGAAGTATTTTGCTCAGAAATTATGGACCAAGCTGTTTGGGAATCTTGGTTAATTCTGAATTTTCTTTGACTTAAATTTTTTTTATTTTCTTATTGGTTTAGGAGAGGAAAAGATATGATGATGTGTTCCTCAAAAAAATCCGATTTTTCCTGATTCTTCCCCCAACTAAGGAAGAGATCTTGTTGTAATTGCCACATTAGAAATTGAGCACAATTATGTGCTTTGTGGTACTTTGTGTTCATTATTTAAACAAGGGGCACATTTGGTTAAAGCAAAGCATCTTTTGTTTTTATTCTTGTGGATTCTTTAAGGGGGGTTTCTTTACCAAATACGCAGAAGGATTATAGTACTCTTTCTGCTGATGTTTTCTTCTTCATTTGTCTGTTTTTCCTTGCATCCTTTGTTAGGAGAATCCCTCGTCTTCTTGGCCTGCATTATTCTTCTCTCCTAATGCATTATTTTTGTTTTCTTATTCAACTAGTAATGATGATAGAAGATAAAGAAGACATCTTTCTTCTAGTTGGTGGTGTTTTTCTACTTGTGTTTCTTATTTTTTCCAAGGGAAAGGGGGATGTTGGGTGGATGGGTGAGTGAAGAAGGGATGCGATGCATGGTGTTGAATTCATAAATTGCCAGCGAAGTTATTTTGGTTTTCTTGGTATACTTTCAAGTTGTTTGTTGAAATTCTGAGGAACGTTTGATTCATGTGTTTGGCCAATTCAACTTTAACCAGAAGAGAGTGCCATTTCTAGGAATTCTAAAACTATAGTATGTATTTCAATAAAAATGACTAGTTGACGAAATCCAAAAAAATAAGTATGATGCCAGATTCAGCAGTGCCATTATTCATTGAAAACATGTACTATGCACAGATGCGAACTACTACTTTGATATTTGTTTATGTTTTATCAGCCAAGTTTATTCTTCTTTTGCCAACTGTTAATTAAAATCTATCACCACTAATCATAATTACTGTTTGTCACACATTTCAGGTGGTTCGATATCATTCACTGGTGATAGATTCTGAATCACTTCCTGAAGTGCTCATTCCAATAGCATGGACTTCCACTAGTACACTTCCATCTATTGGATCCAAGGTTTCTGACAAGTACAATGGTCATGAAGTTCAGTCTGATCAAAGCAGTTTCTTTGATTCATTTTTACCTGAAGCAGGAAATGGTAGTTCAAACCTTATTGATCATGGACAGACTAGAAATGCAAGGGTTCTTATGGGAGTCAGGCATTCTACAAGGCCACACTATGGTGTACAGGTGTGAAGTACGGAAATGATATGTCTATAGTTTTAGCCTTGTGTTTCTATTTACTTATCCATTTATTGACCTTGCTCAACTCAACAAATTTGACCTTTCAGTTTCATCCAGAGAGTGTTGCCACCTGCCATGGAAGTCAAATATTCATGAATTTTAGAGAGATTACAGAGGATTATTGGCTGAGATTTAGGTCATCACACAACAAGGAAAATCGTGCTAATTCTAATGGTAAACTGAATAACTGTGCCCCCACCCATCCCACACACACATACAGAAAAAACTGAAAAATCTTTTATTACAATTCACTCTATCTTTCCTATGTGCTTATCAAATTATTTACACCACAATAATTTTTGGGTTAGTGTTTACCTGATTGCTATTTTTAGACTTCTGTTAAATGAGAAAATGGGCTAATACAATTATTACATTGTATCTTGTCCAGTCATAGTTTGTATTTACTTCTAGAAAATATCCAGACCTTCTAAACAAGAATAAGATCTTTTTATTATGGTGTTCATGCTGCTTAATTTTATTATTAATTTCAATTGGCCTTCAGCTTAATATGGTAGTTCTGCGTGATTTACCTGAGCAGTAAACTTTCTTTAGCATACACACAGGTTTCAAGTGCTAGTAGACTCTACAGAGACTTTTGCAGAAGTAATAATGCAGAAATTAATACTGTGGATCAGCCAAGGAGAGTAAATCACGGAGACAAACATTTAGCACTTAATAATACTGAGATGAACTATAAATGTTTGAAGTTGAAATGGAGGAAATTTGATCACTTGGCTGGCCAAGTTGGCGGAGCAAAAAGTATATTCTGTCAGTTGTTTGGACATGAAGCTGAAAACACCTTTTGGTTAGATAGTTCCTCCACCGATATGGTATTTATATGAATTTATGTTAGATTATCTTTGATTCTATAGATATGATGCCGAAAATGCCGTAGTCATCACCAACCCGTTCCCCGATTCTGTCTTTAATACACAATATATATTTTTACATTTGGACCTTTAAACTAGAATCATTTGATCAACATAGAATCTCTTCATATTTTTGTAATAAACTTCATTATATAGTATATTTTTCATTATCTCAATATTCATCTCATCCCAATAGGGAAGAGCGCGCTTTTCATTCATGGGAGGAAAAGGTGGATCACTTTGGAAGCAGTTAGCGTTCAGATTGTCTGATCAGAGGTTTGAAATGAATTCTCTTGACTGTTAATTTTTAAATATTTCTGATATCTCTTCAATACTCTTTCATATTTTAGATTCACCTTTTACAAAGCATTGACCTGGAAAAAATATTTTAGTTGCACTGCACCAGTATATGATGTTATATAAAATATAATCATTTTTTTTCTCCAGTGATGGGTGTTCAAAAGGTGGTGGCTTTTTGTCACTCGAAGATTCTGAAGGCTCGGCCAAAACAATATTCTTGGAAGGAGGGTTTCTTGATTTTTTTAACAAGGTATATACTGAAATTATGTTGGTCATTTAATGCTTTATTCTTGTGTATCACGCTTCTCACCTAGAACATGCCATATTGTTAGAGATACAACGTGATATTATACTCTATCAGGTTTTCGGTTCTTGTTACCCCCATGCTTTCATAATCACATTGAGTTAACATTACATAAATAGAGCCTGTGCTTGTATATGATTTGAGTCTGTAATGCTCTTCTACAAAGGGGGTGTTCTAGAGATATAAATCATTATTGAACTTTTACATAACATATCAAACATTTGATAGCTTTGGTCTTTGACACTATTTTGGCAAAATGCTCTCTTTTAGGTTAAAAAAAGTGGATTTTTCATTTACGTGGCTATACCACCCTTTTTTTCTCCAACAAAATTTCTTTTTGTACCCTAAATAAGAAATCTGCTAACTGAACAAATATTCTGTAAGATTCAAGAAAAGATCCTTGTTGCCCAGTCTCTTGTGATTTAAACCAATAAAATGCTATGCACTGCTTTGAATGTTTTTCTCTTTTATCACATATGAAATTAAGAAATGAAGAAAGGGGTGGGGTAGGATATATGATTGGTAAACAGGACAAAGACACAAGTAAGGGAAGTCAAAATTTATGGATATTGAATCATCAGTATGTATGTATGTATTTTCTTGGCGTTGGTTATTCCGAATTACGATATAGATATTTTTGTACAAGCTTAATGAAACATTAAGTATTTTTCCTCTTATTACTGTCTCCCTCATAAATTTTTTGCCTTAATACTGTCACAGGAGCTTCAATCATATCATTATGATAAGAATGAATACGAAGGTCTACCATTTGATTTTCACGGCGGATATGTTGGTTACATCGGGTAGGTGATAAAGTCAAGCAAATATATGCCTACATTGTATCAAGCTGAATGTGTATGTATTTTTTTTATCAACAAGAAAACAACAAAGAAACTAAACTCTAAAATTTAACACTAACTAAAATATCAGCCAGAGAGTTTTGCATAGGCTGATAAGGACATTTCTGCCATATCTTCAAAGGTTGATCAATAGCTTCACCAAACTGTGCTAGTCATCAGCAAATTCATTGCCCCCCCTCAAAGTCCGATGGAATGTAAGGACCAGACCATGGAAGAGAACTTGTGAATGTGGTTGATTAAAAGAGCATATGGATAAGATAATGTAGTGTCATCTGTAATGAAATCAAGAGCATATTTATGGAAGTGAATAAAATAACAAAAAAAAAACAGTCCCAATGCTTTGCTCGGGTTCCATACTTGTTATAATATATAATATCCTCTCTAGTGAACTAACAAATAATTGACTCTTTATGTTGCAGGTATGATCTCAAAGTTGAATGTGGTGTCACATCTAACCGCCACAAATCTAAAACTCCAGATGCATGTTTTTTCTTTGCTGATAATCTTGTAGCCATTGATCACAAAAATGATGATGTTTATTTATTGGCTATACATGAAGAAAGTTCAACTACGACAGAATGGTTGGATGATACCGAGGAGAAGCTTCTGAGCTTTACTGGCTCTAAGAGCATGGATTTTGAAAGACAGTATTCTCATCCGTCAACTTTTTCCTCAAATAAGACTGGTTTTGCAGCTGAACAGTCTAGAGAGCAGTACATTAGAGATGTTAAGAAGTGTCTAAACTACATTAAAGACGGAGAGAGCTATGAGTTGTGCCTCACAACTCAGATAAGGAAACCAATTGAGGTATTAAATACTCTTGGATTTTACCTTAATTTGAGAGAAAGGAATCCAGCACCTTATGCTGCGTGGCTTAATTTTCCAAAGGAAGATCTGTGTATTTGCTGTTCTTCTCCTGAGAGGTTCTTGCAGTTGGATAGGAATGACATGCTAGAAGCTAAGCCCATTAAGGGTACTGCAGCCCGTGGTGCTACTGAAGAGGAAGACAAGCAACTCAAGTTGAAATTACAGCTCAGGTGACATTTATTTCTGGAAAATTTCTAGTCTACCTATCACTATCTTAACAAGTGTTTCTATGACTTCAATTTACATAATGGAATTGCTTTTCTCACTATGTTTTTAGTCGTGACATCAAATTTCCACGTGTATTTAATAATTCAGTAATTTGGTAAGAATCATGGCTCGTTGAAATCCTATTTGGATGCAAAGCGATTGAATGAGAATCAGTTTGGTGAGTCTGTTATGAACTGACTCATATTTCTATTTCAGTGAAAAGGATCAGGCTGAAAACTTGATGATTGTTGACCTTCTAAGAAACGACCTTGGTCGAGTATGTGATCCTGGATCTGTTCACGTGCCGCATCTCATGGATGTACAATCATATGCAACTGTTCACACAATGGTGAGTACAATTCGTGGGAAAAAGCGGTCAGATGTAAGTGCAGTAGACTGTGTCAAAGCTGCATTTCCTGGTGGTTCGATGACAGGTGCACCAAAGTTGAGATCAATGGAACTTCTCGACTCTCTTGAAAGTTGTTCTCGAGGCATCTACTCAGGCTGTATTGGATTTTTCTCATATAATCAGACATTTGATCTAAATATTGTCATAAGAACAATTGTTATACATGAGGGTGAAGCTTCGATAGGAGCTGGAGGGGCAGTTATTGCTCTGTCAAACCCAGAAGAAGAGTATGAAGAGATGATCTTGAAAACAAAAGCACCAGCAAGCACTATGTTAGATTATGAATATAGAGATCAATAAATCAAACAATTAATTTTTTCCCTTTTGGCCCATGGTCTACAACAATGATTTGGTGTATTTTGGCCAACTAATCATTTTATACTCACATATACAATTACAACGGGTCCGCTCCTTCCTGGATCCATTTCGGCAGAAGCTTCATAATGCAGTTGCCCTTTACAGAAGAATATTGTGCTGAAGCAAGGATCGATTGATTTGGGGTTAGGTTTCCTTTTCTAACAGAAAGATTTTTACTTTTATGATGCGTGCTTTCAGGCTTGATTTGATATGTAATATATGATATATTTATGCATATACTTTTGGCTGTAATTTTGGCTTGCTGAGTTATGTTTCTGGTTTTTCTATACTGTAATTTGTGTTGAATTGAATGAATTCTCAACAATTTCGTTGTAATTTGTATTCATTATTTTCATTGTGAAATTGGTGACATTTGTTCATTGATACTGTTTGTTCTTACCGCATGGTTTCTGCTATGTGTTGCTGCCTCATTGAGGTATCTATTTGTGTTTAGATAGTTGTGTATTTGAGATGAAAGTGAGATCTTATCATAACAAGACATCCCTATCATAACAAGATCAGCAATGTTTGCTAGTTTGCTTATCTTTCATATCAAAATTATTTGTAGCTTTTGCTAGCAATGTACTAATGCCTAACTAATGTTGAGACTGTTTCAAGAGAATCCATCGCATCTTTTATTTCCCTATTTGTTTTTTTTTCGAAAATCAATCTGTCTGACTGCATTAATGTTTGGGAAATGTTTTTTCCACCCTAAGTCGTGGAGAAGCACTATTGAAATTCGAAGATGTCCTTACAAAATTGGAAGTGTATTTTTGGATGCACTCATACCATATCAAAATATGTGTTTAGTGAGACACATCCTTATTTTTGAGTTTAGTTTGGATGTGTATTTCTGGACACATCTTTCGAATTTATCAAGTGAGAATTTGAAAAAAAAAACCACTTTTGCATGTTAGGACAATTTCGGAATCACGTTTCCGGATTTGTCAAGCGAGAAATTTAATAAAACATTTGCTTTGCTCATAATCAAAATTCTATTTTTGTTCAAACTCTATCAAAATCTCCTTTCACACTCAATCAACTTTTCAACTTCAAAATATTATTTGTTTGGTTTTTCATGTCAAAAGGAGTTAAAATTTAAAGTAATTTATATGTATTTCCTTCATTCTCTACATTAATTTGGTTTTTGCTCTAAAAGAATGAACGTTGTATCTTGAAATGTATTTTTGAATTTTGGTTCAATGTCATACGAAAGTGTATTTTTAGATTAGTTCAGAGTGAATTTGAACAACTTTTGAATATTTTTGTTATTATCTATCTTAGATATGATGCACTTTAATATTTTTCTCAATCATGTTGTGTCTACAAATGTCAAATCGGTTGATATCAAGGTAGATGTTGGCAACCAATTCACAAATGAACGAGATTTTTTTCTTCATGATCACATGCTTTAATGGATTCACATAAAGATATCAATTGAGGTTCGACGTTGTAATCAAAAGGTTAAATAGCGATTCAGATAAAATATTTGCATTTGTGACAGTGAGAAAGTAGGTTCAGATAACTCAGTATGGTATAATATATTTCGAGCGGGGTTGAAATTTATTTTTCACGAAGTCAAACGAGTTGAGAAAATATATTTAGATAGCTCAAAGTGTGGTTGACAATTAGGAAGACGTACAATATTTGATGTGTTTGTTTAATTTTAAAGGTGAAACTTAATAGTCCAATACAAATAGATGAAGTTTGCTCCCATTATAAAAGACTCTGCTTTGATGATAATGGTGTGATGAAGGACGATAAATCGAATAAATCTATCTCGATCGAATGATAAGTGTTCTAGATTGGGCCTGCCCTTGGCCCAACTACCAGTGAGGTCCAATCCCAGCTTGCCAACCTGATGCGCTGAGCAGTATTTCTCCCGAGCACATCCCGATCACAGATGTTGTCGACCAAGACTGCTTTCCGTCGATGCTCGCAGGACTATCTTCAACGAGCACGCGCTCCTCCCGAGCACCTTTCTCGTAGGGCTGACTTCCAACCTCTCAGGATTTTACGGAGTCTTCATGGTTTCCTTCATGGTTCCAGAAAGATCGCGTCCCTATCTTCCTTGTCTTGCAGAGGAAGTTATCCAGGTAGGGGCCACGCGTGGGTCCCCACTACACACGTAGAACCTGACAGTCTCTTTAATTGGGTCTGTTTGATCAGCCCAATAAAGAGATCTTGATTCAGCGTTGGGGGCTATAAATACTCTATCTTTCGAGAGAGTCAGGTATTCAATTCATATCTCAGAACTCTTACTTACTTGCTCATTTCACTTCTTACTTTGTCATCGGAAGGTCTTGTAGGTACTCCCCCATCTCACTTAACTTCTACCCGAGTCAACTGTGACGGTCCATCTCTGATCCAATAAGATCAGTGGTGCCGTCTGTGGGAAACTAAGCTTTTCCGTCTTCTATTCACTTGAGACCAAAAGCTAAACAATCCTCGACTGTCATGCTGATCAGACTCCAGACAACACGAACGCCTGTGTTATCGACATTAACAACAACACCACCGACAACAATGCCGACCTCGACAACGCCGATACCGCCAGCCATAACACTGCCCTGGGCGTTAATGTGCCCGGGCCTTCTAACTATAGGGACGGAGCCACTGATTCATCGTTATCATTGCCTCCTCGACTTGAATAAGATCGGCCACCTCCCAGAGCTATCCACGCGTCCAGTTCCACGAGGTCCCCGTCCCAGCCAGGGCAAACCCGGGCACTGTTTGCAGCAATCAATCAAACCAACTATCTAATCTTCGTCCAAGGGGAAAGACTGAGGGCACTCGAGGATGATCGGAGGCCCCCGAGAAGACACAGGAGACCTCAATATCCTCCTCCTCGACAAGCAGATGAACATCCCCAATGTCCCCTACAGAGACATAATCGGGACATCTCTCGAAGTCTGTCGCCCCGACCACTCGGGCGACGACCCCCTTTGGAGAGGGAACAACTTGTCGACGCGGGAAGGCGCGATTACGGCCCCTCGCGTCAAGAACAAAGACCCCATGGAGACAGGAACGGGGGAAACCATCAACGGTCATACCGCCTAAGGACCACTCCGCGCGAGCAGGGCCACCGTGACCGCCACGACATTAGGTCTTCGTCTCGCTCGCCCAAACAGAGTGACGAGGATGACACCCGCGGTCCCTTGTCGCAAGCTATCATGGAGGCTCCCATTCCCCCGGGCATGGAGAAGCCTCCCACCTGAAGGAATATGACAGCATCGTCGACCCGGTCGACCATATAAACGGGTTTGAGGCCATGCTGCACTATCACAACATCGGGGGGACCGATGAAATATCGGTTGTTCCTACGACGCTGAGGAAAGCTGCGATGTATTGGTACAAAGGTCTTGCCCCAGGGTCAATCACCTCTTGGCAGAATCTAAAAAACTAATTCATTAGCTCGTTCATTGCTTCGTGGTGACACCCGAAGACCGAAGCAGCCCTCGAGGTCATCGTTCAGAGACACGATGAGACCCTGAAGGAATTCATTGACCGATTCAACCTGGAGGCCATCCAGGTCCCCTGCACGGACCACATGAAAATATACCTACTCGAGAGGGGGCTCCTCCCGGGCATCGAATTCAGAAAATTTGTAGGTATCGAACCACCCCGGACGTTCGATGCCCTCCTCGAGAAGGCCAGAGCCTATATAGACTACGAGGAGAGAGAAGCGGCCAGCAGAGCCCGAGATCCCAGGAACCACAGATCCAACAGTAATCCGCGACAAGACACCGCCCCTCCTCGACAAACTGGCGAGAAGAGAAGGGATGATAAACCCTGAGACGCCCGGGAACAAAGGGGGCCCTCGGGGAGGTTCATTGAATACACTCCACTAACGGCTTCTTGCAAGCGCATCTTAGCAGAGTGCGCAAGTACAGACTTCAAGGACGGCAATGTCAAGCGTCCTCGCCTCGCTCCTGCCAAACCCGGGGTAGACCGAAGAAAATACTGCCAGTATCACCGGAGCCACGGGAACTTGACCGAAGACTGCATCCACCTCAAGGACGCCATTGAGACCCTTATAAAGGGGGGAAGAATTGCGCAATATCGGCGAAGCGACGCTCCTTGTCGGGATGCCCGTGATACGAGGGAAGTAGAAGAGGATGCCCGACCATCTGACGAGTCGGTTCCCATCTAAACCGCATTCTCCGTCACAAAAATCGAGGACTTCTACATCCCCAAACATCTACAAGAGCCTCTGTCTATGCACAACAGGTGGGGAAACTTCCCCTCCACCACGTTCATCAACGATGGAGGGTTTAATGATTTGATCATAAATTCAGTAAAGAGAAAGCTGGACGAACTGGTCGACATGGCTCCCCCATAAACGGTGACCTTCGAAAGGGTGAAAGGAAGATCAGAGCCGATCACCTTTTACCTCGAGGAGCTTCCAAGAGGTCCCCCCAATTCATCCACCCCTATTCTGATAAGGGCCAGAATGGCCAACTTTGACGTACATCGCGTCCTGGTCGACGAGGGAAGTTCCGTCGATGTGATGTACAGCCAACTGTTCAGAACCCTGCAGCTCGATGACTCTCATCTTTCACCATACGTGGGGTCAGACCTGCAGGGCTTTAATGGCTCGACCTCCAAGCCGTGGGGGTATGTGGAGCTTATGGTCACATTCAGAGAGGATACCTCTACCAGGCAGGTCAAGGTTCGCTTCCTCGTCATCGACTGCCCATCCCTCTACAACTGCATCCTCGGCATGCCAACACTGGAAGAGCTGACTGTGGTGCCCTCCACCGTCCACTTAAAAATGAAGTTCTACACCAAGAGGGCACGGGTCGCCATTATTCAAGGAGATCTAGCAGCCGCCCATAGGTGCTTCAACGCGGCGTCCAAGGGATACAACATAATTGGCACCAGCACACGGCCCGCGAAGAAAGCTGCAACTGCGCGATTAGAGCCTCAACGGTCAGATCCCG